ATCAATTTCGACCATTTTGGTCTGAAATAGGGTATGGTTTGTGCACTCTAGTCTTGAATGGGTATGTTTTTTAGAAGAATTAGCTACTTCTTCATCATTTGGCAATAAGACCATTTCCCTTTTAATGTTTACGCCAACTACCGTTTACGTGCCGTAACAGCTTGTCACGCGCTCCGGTCACGCGCCGGGCTCCAGGGCTTCAGGTCTGAAATAGGGTAAGGGTTTCAAGAAGCGTGCCGCACACCCCCTCCCAATTCTGGAAGTACCCCCGGAATTTTTGGGACACAAAAGGCAGGACATTGTGCAAGGCGTTCCTTGCGGAGACCGTAGAAACTGTGACTACGAATCTTTGCGTGATCGAAGCCTCGCATGTTTTGCGAAGAAAGCTCAGGAAAGATTAAATTTAGAGCTTTTCCGAAACGTGTAGGTCCACGAATTCTATCGCTTGAAAGCATTGATTACTTCGGAGCAAGCGAACAGTTCTGAGCAGTCGAAAAAAATTAAGAATCTTAATGAATTCACGTTTAGCAATATTCCGTCCTCTGAATTGAAAACAAAATAGCGTAGAAAGAAAAACATGGCTTTTACCTCGGCGGGTTCTATGACAGATCGATGTACAGATCAGCTAAAACAAGTTTTTTTTTCAACGGCGGGAAAAGCGCCAAGTTAACAACGGATTTTTCTTTGTGTAATATGAATTCAAAGGTGGATTTCCAGCAAAAAAAATAAGGTTTTGACGGTCAAAAAACCGAGCTAAACGTAAACCTTTACCTAAGCAAACTCGTCAATGAGACGCTCTGACAAATGTACAGTTCTTTTATTTCGATTGTCGCTCTTATTTTGAAACAACTGGTCCATTGCCGTGTTGCATTTCTTGATCGCCAAAACGTCCGCAAAAGCAGTAAAAACAACACCGACCAAGTTTGTCTCTTAATGAGGTCATTGCGGACATCCTCAAATATTATATACACAGACAATGTTCCAGACTTCAGAGGTAGTTCATCGCATTATTGCGACGATATTATTTCGTATCAGCCGTATGGTCAAAAATGACCACACTCATCAGGAAATTACAGTGTCGTTAACTGGGTTATACAATATCAACTGAGCCAGAGGTAAATAATAAATATTCTTTTAAGTTACTCAGGTGATTATTGAGGTGAAAAGGAAAACCCACAGTTTAAATTGTTAGTTCCCTTGGGTCCAGAGTGATTTTGCTTGACTTGTGAAATAGGTAGTGGGATACTACGCACTATCATGCACTAAGAATATTGTATTCTTTTGTTTACCTCTTGCTATTGGACACTATTTGTTAGTATCTATTTCACGGTTCAAGTAAAATCACTCTAAGTGTAATATTTATTAAAAACTGTCGAATTTGACTGAGTTCTACGTATACTTCACGGACGCTTTTCATCCCTGAATTGTGATATTCGACGTCTAAACCGGATACAATTTTGGCCTTTTAATTAGAAATATGCTCAGTTGCACTACGTTTTGTAACTAAGAAAACTAATAAAAGTGATTATGCACATTTGCTATAACGTTATATAACCAAGAGTAGTCAATCGATAAAAATCGGTATCGATTTATCCATCAATAAATCGATAAAAATCGGTAAATCTGATTTGGTTGATATCGATTGCATCGATCAATCAGTAGAAATCCATGACACACTTGTTTCGTTTATCGATTTCCACCGATTTCCGTCACCAATCGATAAAAATCACTTGATTGCTACCGATTTTTATCGATTGACTACTCCGAGTATATTGGCAGCACATCTATATTGAGTCATGAAATCTATTTGGTTCGTCTCTTCAATGCTCCTTCAATTTAGCAACACCAAACTGTATCTGAACATGAATAGGTTGTAAGAATAACGTACGAAAAAATAGTATTGTCTGTTCTACCTGGTGGCCCCGAGAAGCCAATTCTTCGAGGATATTTGTCATGCTAATGTAATGCGATCCTCCAAAGGCTATGAAGCCGGCAATCCGCGCCGATGAAACGGAGCTCATAGGTAATGATAGCAAAATCAGAGCCAACAACGCCATCTTTATGCTTTTGTGCGTTAAGGCTGGTTTTCACTTACGAAGCTGTCGGAGTGGGAGTCGTTATGTGAATCAGAGATGGCATATAGCTGATTCAATAAAGGTTTCTTTAGGCATTGGGAATTGGCAATTCGGTATTGTGCATTTGGGCCGATACAGAACAATGCAATGATTTTGCAGTATATAAACGGCGACATAAAAGGCGTGCATACTTTGCGGTAAATGATTTTTTCACTTACGGAAAAGTCTGACTTTGTATACAAAGCTGTTTCGAGAAAGACTGTAGAAAAAAAGCGCAAAAGTGCTCGCGGCAATTCCGAAAGGTAATCTGGATTATTATCAATAGATTCTCCATATAAACGAGGCCTTATATAGTTAAAAATTACGATTTTGACAAAATAATTGTTGAAACAGCTGTATACGACTCAATGAGGTTTTACTCAGTATTTACAGTCTTTAGCCGTTAATGAGTTTTTGATAACACAGAGCTAATAACTCGGTAAATATAAGAGGTTACCACGGAATCCATCAGGAAATTGAGTAATTTTAAATTTCAGTGGACAAAAACCTTGTACCAGAATAATTTAAAGCATATTGTATTCTTTTTTTACACTTTTCAAGGGCTATAGTAGCATGCGAACCGAAGACGTATCTCCGGTCGTCGCTTCTCGATCTCCCTCCGAAAAACTAGAAACTAAAGCCGAATAAACCGGATGCCCTCGCAGGCTAGGGCTATAGATATAATTAGTGATCTGAAATAACACGAAAGAAAATTTCTTATTGGAGCCCGAGAAAATAAATGTCAAATTTCCCAAAATGATATCTTACACATAAAACTTTCTGAATTTTAACTGTGTTTTCACAATTCTTGAGAACTTTGACATTAATTTTCTCGGGCTCCCATGAGAAATTGTCTTTGGTGATTTTGTAGATAACTAATTAAGTCTATAGTTCTTGAAAAGTGAAAAAAAAAAATGCAATATCGTTTAAACTATTCTGGTACAAGGTTTTTATACACTGAAAATTAAAATTACTGATGGATTCCGTCTTAATTTGCATTTAATATTTTTTCAATAATGACGATGCTTGACTCAGTAATGATTAAGTCATAAAGTATTTTGCAGCTAATGCTATTTAAGTAACCACGAAGTTTGACTTGGTATAAGTAGAAGGTGATATTATCATATAAATTCTGATATTTGCTTGTTCCAAATCGGTGATGTAAAAATCGTCTATATATAACCGAAATTTTGCTCAAATAAACCATATGGAACAATTTTCGAGTTCTCCGCAATGTAGGAAAATATAATAGTAATAACAATAATAATAATAATAAAAATAATAATGACAACAGTGCATTTATATAGAGCACACATACATTAGCTACTCGACGCGTTTCACAAAGATTAAAAATTACATGTATCTCAGACTATATTAGGCCCATTTATATGGAGAAAATTTGACCCGAGAAAGAGAGTTAACCTGCCAGCCGAGTCATCTTTAGAGAGAGCTTCTATGAGAAGAAAGTTGACCTCAGCTCTTTGCCTGAGCTAACGCTACGCTCAGCTCGCGCATGCTCTGATCGTCCTGCATTGATCAAGTTTGCCCAGCTGGGCGAGCGAAGATTTTTAAATGGAAAAAAGTTTGCCCGACTAGGTGGATGACCCAACTATCGTAAAAGCTAGCCGAGCCTACCTTTTGTTTCTCATGTAAACGGTTTGCCAAGTTTTATGAGGGAATGTAGGAAAAGTTGGTTTGCCAGGGTAGCTCAAACAGGCGGGTGACCATTCTACCTGGTGACACCTTTTCTCTACATATAAACGACGCCGTTTTAAAGATTGTTACTTATTATTTTCTTGTACGCTGTATAGTGATCTAAAAATAAAGAATCATCCCAAACGAGTCTAGCTTTTCGCGTTTTGCGGAGAATACGAAAATGGTCTATTTAAACAAAATACAAAAAAATCCCTTAAAAGAGATGTACATATACTGTACGTAAAGTCTGTCCAAGATATATACAACACGAATAAGCTGGTGTATAACAAAGTCCAAGACAACAAAATACAGAGGCATTTTATCCTCAGGAATTGTTCATAGAATCATCCTAGTACAAGCTTTCGATTTTGTCGGACCGGGAATCTTAGTATGGCGATGGAATCGAAAGCTTGTGTTTTACGTTAAAATCTTTGCACTGACAAAGTATCTTGATTTGTGTTGTTTCAACCATGATGACAGGATCAAGTACCATTTTCTTCACCCCTTCTGAATAAACATATCTCAGTTAAAGTTTAAACAGGTATTAAATAAAGAAAAACTAATTATATTTAAAAAAAAGAAGAACATTAAAGCACAGAAAATAACCGGATGAAAACATGACGTTTCGGCGACCATAATTTCTTCATGAATTTACTTACGAAAATAAGTGCTTTTCCAGTCTACGCAATATGCTTTATTGAAGTTGTTCACGATAAATGGTGTTTAGTTAAAAGCGTCGAGCAAACTGAAAATGCATGGTAAAAACGCGGTATTGTTAAACGCGGGCTAAACCCCTTAAATAACCGACCCCATCTTTAGGAACTTTATCAGGGAGTTTTAAAATGCAACTAAAAATGCTTGTATATATAGCTACAACGAACGTAATTTTACACTGGATACAAAACTCCTACGGATTTGTGTATAGGAAGGACAAACCACGTGGTAATACGTCTAGGAAACAGGCGTAAAAATATTTTGTAAGGTGTGTCATATTTTATGCGTAATGTTATGTTAGGTAATATTTGCGATAACTAAAACTGTGGGCACCAAAACGGTACCTAACATTACATTGCATATAAAAAATGACACATCTTGCAGACAGTTGTCTCCGTTTTTCAAAGCCAAACCGTGACTACAATTAAACCTTCGTAAATATTGACTTTTCAGTGTTCCAAGCCACTCTGATTCGTTTCACTCCCTGTTCTCTTTGCTTCCTTGTCTCATACAGCACAGAGGGCAAATGAATCTACATATCAACCTTGTCGCTATAGCAACCAAAATAATCACCGTAACAATAAAAGCAATGGCGTCAAACAAATAATACTGATACCAAGGAATGTAAAACACTTGAGGTCTAAGATGCTTGGCTCCTCCATGTCTCAGTACATACTCTATCCAGTCACAGGCCTCTTGTAGAGGAGTGCGTGGACGGTCTTTTAACAAGCTGGATATACGCATTGCAGTTTGCTTGAATCTACAGAAGAGGAACTTTCTTTTAATATTATTGGCAAGTTCTATCCGAACAAGTCTACTGTATGAAACCAGTCATACACTTCCTTTTGGGTAAAGGATTATGAAGCGTCCATGCGCCATCCACGATCCACCTATGTGTGAACTATACTAAATGGTTGACGATTAATGTTTAAGAATCGCTAAATTTGGTGGTGGAGGTGGTGGTACAGTTTGTCTGGAAGGTATAATTAGAAATGTTTTAGTACAGTAGAAATGCAGGTTGGGCTGGTGCGAATTGTAGTTATCGGAGTTTTCCAGAAGGCATATACCTTACTGCAAAGCTTCCTTTGGGAATTGGTAGCCTTTAAGGCATAGGTCAAACGCCGTCCTTCAAATGAGTCGAGCTTAATTACAGCTTGAATCGACCAAAATTAGCGAGCCGGTCTATTTGTTTAGCGACTTGGCCAGCCACAGAACTCCTCAGCCGATCCAAATCAGAACAAAGAGCCGAACTTAACTGGGTCAACGTTTCACTTCAAATGAGTCGATTCCAAATTGAGCTCGCAGCTCATGTGAACTGATGTAATGAACGTAAGACAAGCAGTGCGCGGTCAAAACTCAAGACAAGTAACAGTTACTTTTGTAAGGCAAACTATACATGAGTCTATCAGCTTTCACATTTCAAAGAAATTGAGGAGGAAATATAGAGACGGTAATAACGTTAAAAACGTAGCTGTGGAAACGGAGGTTTCATCCAAAACTTTTAAGTGTATCACACGAATTCTGTGCAACCAAAGTGAAAAGGTTATTGGCCACTGAAACGTCCAATAGAGTCATCATTTAAAGTGTATTAAATTTAATTTCTTTATGACTATACGTAACTATTTCATGCAGTACAACGAATTCAGCCTTCGACACTCAAACGTTTTTGTCCATTCAAAGGACGAATCGTTAATAAATAAATTCAAAAGGAAATGGAAATTACCTTTGTTCGCTTACAACCAGCTTAATCGTTTCAGAAAGTAGATGGGCATTAGTATGTTCGTGATACACTGCTAAACCGAGTCCAAAATGTTCCACTTTTTTGGAATTTGCATGCTGCTCTGCAAACAGTGGGAAACAGACCAAGGGAACCCCGTGATATGCAGACTCATACATACTGTTGTGACCCACGTGTGAGACAAACGCCTTGATATCTTTGTGAGCCAATAGATCATTTTGCGGTAACCAATCCATAACTTTGATGTTTTTAGCAAGAAAGGTAGGGATATAGCCTGCAAGAAAGAATTTGCCAGTAAATTCTTGATGACCTGACGAGAGAATCTCATATCTTAGTGATTTCACACAAAACCAAGGATAATTTACAAATATACATAAGTTACCTTTAAGTCTCCACAACACCAGCTGTTTTAGCTTTCCAAAAGCTGTTGCAAGCATATCTACAAGGTCTCGAGGAAGAATGGAAGCCACATTTGATCCAAAGGAAACAATGATAAAACCATGCCCTCCTGAACCACTAACAAATTCTTCGAGATCACGAGGTAGAGATTTAACATCACTTTTGACATTAAGTGGTCCAACCATCCGGTGAGCTGTTAATAAAGGACGCGCTTCTATTTTAACCAAGAGATACGGAAAATTCAGGTATTTTTCGGGCGTACCTCTGGAAATTTCCCAGGAATTAGTGGAATTAATAAAAAATAGTTTAACTGATAGTCTCCTTTTTCCCATGGAAACTTTTTCAGTGGAAATTTCTGTTCCATTAACGTGTTTTCCATCGTTTCACCAGTTTCGAGTTTTTCCGTACCATGTATGTACAGCCATTATGAATTTTGGGGGAAGGGACTGAATGGACCTTGAATAACACGCTTCCTTCATCCGATGGAGATTTCCATCGACATTTCCGAAATCATTGGTGAATAGCAAACGCCCCATCCCACAAAACACTTCAGGGAGAAGTATATATATCTAGTACCGAAATAAGCTAAATCATAGCGATCGTCTACGGCTTAAATGAGGTGTCTCACCACCATCGACTTTTTTACTCCTCCAGATCTTTGAAGAAATAAAAAAACTATGACAATCAGAAACTTGGGACACAAATGGAGCTTTTTCACATGACGTCCCAGCGGCTATACTGGTGTGTTACAATTAGGAAACAGCGGCTATGTTGGTGTGCAAAGGTAAATCGGTAGAGGAAAGCACTCTCAGTACAGACTGGAGCCTGAATGTATGGGCCGCGGGTGAACGGATGTTATGGGAGCCGTATCTGGCATTCCCGTATATTTTTTTACAGGGATGAGTGATATCACACGGGAGAGGCACGAAAAAAGAGAGACTACCCGCAAAGCCAGAGAAAATGGTCTTTCACGGTCTAGTGTTTTTTTGGCGTGAAAACTGAAGTGTTGACAGGCTAAGCAAGTGTAACGTGACCATAGAGTTTGCTTGAACATCAGAGGTTATTTTCTTTTCTTTTTAACGCGTGGCTGATGCAGTGCATAGAGTCGATTCTAAACTAAATGACTGAACAAATCTTAATTTTGGCGCTAGTCTCACATGTAGAGGTAATGAAGCTGGTCTATTTCTCGCATATTAATAAGTCATTTCCTGTTGTTTATGTTTTGAACCCGGGGCCTAGCTCTTTTCTTGTTTGCGGGATGTTAAATTCTCACGGGATAGTGTTCTACATATCCTAATACGGCTTAACTAAAACTAAGCCAACTATAGAGAATTGCGCTGCAAGTCACTCAAAATCATTCTTCGGGCGTCGATTTGTTTTTTGCTCGTTGTCCTGGGGTGCATCCGTTGGTAATTAGTAGTGGGTAATTATTTGGTAGTAGCTTTTTAAAATAAGCAGTCTAACAGTCTTCCAGTAAAACGGCTCCTCGTCAACGAAAAGAAGCCTTGAGCATTTAAGTTACGATCATGTCACGTACCCGGAGAGATGAGACCTTCTAATGCTTGTTTTTGCTCTATATCTAATTCTTTTTTCTATTTTCGGGAACATGACAAACATTCCTGCAGTGCTTCAGCCATCATCAACTTGTCAATGGTTTGACTGTTGACAGTTCGTTGTCAACGCTTCACGAATCAGCCAATCGTATTTTGCGCTGTGAGGCCAACGCATATAGTTCATTTGTTCTGGCTGTGCGGGCAGTCTCTTTTTCTTCTTCTCGGGCTGCCGCCCTCGTTTCTCTCGTCTCGCGGCTTCGCTGCTCGACGCTCGCCTGCGAGTGCACCCCGCTAACTAAATCTGAAGAAAAAGAGAGACTGCTCGCAGTCTAATGGAAAGGATTATAAGCTTTTAAAGTCAGCGAAGGAATTTTCAATAACCTTTTACACGTCCTATTGAAGCCAAAGAGAAAAATTAATCGAGTATAGTTGCACTGTGGTTTACTTCGAATGAGTTACTTATGATAGACGGCATTTCATACCTGGTAACAGAGGTTGAGGATACTCCAACGCAAAATCTGCTGCAATCAAAACCAGTTCTGCATCCCCAAGAGCTTCCTGGTAACTTCTTTCAGGTTTAACATTGTACTTAACCTTGAGACTATTCAGTATAGTGCCGAAAACAACATCAAACAATGGCTTGCAACTAAGATACGAAACCAAGTTAATAACTCGTTCCATAAACGTCATCTCATTAGAGAATCCAAGCATGTTCAGCGGGACATAGGAGACAGGCATGGAAAACATGTGGTCAAAACCAAACGGGGTGTTTGGTGAGGAGATCAAAATTTCCACTCGCGGAATGCCAAGAAGCTCACCAACCAGCGGACCGCACATTCCCATGGGAGTTTCGTAAACGAGCAAGTCAAAATCTTTCAACTCCGCCAGCACTTCTGAGCTGTTTAAAGCCCCTTCGCATATGATACTTTGGAGTTCCCTTCCTCTTTTAATGGCCCGAAACCAAGATCCCTCCATTTCAAGCCTGACGAAAGCGTCGAGGTAGTCAGGTTTGAGAGGAACCTGGTAAATTTTGTGTGGCACCTCACTTGATTTAATTTTTTGGGAGGATGGAACCAGCAGCGACACCTATTAATAAGAAAAAAGTATTTTACAATAGCAGCGAAGCGTCAGTCATTGTCAACAACAGACCAATTCAGGACCACCTCCAGTGGAAGATCAAGCTCCACCTATCTACTCAAGTTCATTTAAACGTAGATTTTTAATTCTTAAGCGCCCTCTGACCCTATTATTGTGGGTAGACACCAGCGCCACTCACGCTGTCTATAAAACCGGTCCATTGAACCACGTTCGCAGTATAGTTTATGGACAACAATATTTTACTTTCTAGTTATCATTCCTTAAATCATCTACACCAGCGAACATTTTGACAAGGCTCGAATAAAAATTCAGCAAGTGCCAATATACAGTAGCAAGAGTTATCTTGCTTACCTTGTCTTTTTTCTGCTGTGCTAGCCACCGTGAAATCATGATTGGTCTCCTTTTCGCGAGAGGAGTCCCTCTCAGCGATTAGTCACGTGAAACCAAATATAGGTGCTTTCATGTGTAAGGGGCGGTGCGCAGTGTCGCTCTGAATTTATACACGCTAATCCACCAAAAATACAGGCTCGTTTTTAAATAATAGATAGTTTTGTGTAGCAAGTATGCAAACGAAAAGTAATCTATGAATTAAAAAAACGAGTTCTCCGATGATGTTTCCACTCACGCATTGACCTTAAATCAAAGTAAATCCAAATGTCAGGTGATTGGTTTGTTTATTTTCAATTTTGGGTATTACAACAAGTTATATTTGAGACACCAGTTATTTCAACTCAATGAATCGAAAGAAAGTGATTTATTTCTTTAAGCAACGTTTATGACTCGCAGTAGTTCAAGTCAATAATTATTTTAGATAAGGCGGTGAAAAACATTTTTTCCTTGCATTGCGCTTGCGTTTGTTTTTTCCCATTTCACAAGCGTGAAATGTAAACGCAACATTGCACTCCATTGAATTTTGTCCCTACATATTTAAGCCTGTAAGTAGCCCATTAATATTGCCTCCAGTAGATTCAGCTTGCGGAGTAAATTATGTTATATTGAATGTTCTAAAAAATAATCAGTCTTGGAGCCAAACTTATGAGAAAAACCGACAATCATGTAGAGCGTGACTCAAGTCACGCATTTACCTTAAATGTCAGTACCGATTGCTGCTCTAAAGGTGATGTTACACGGGACGATTCGCAACGACGATTTTTAGCGCAGCCCAGCGTCGCAACATTGTTGCGACATTGTTTCATGGTGGCAACACTGTTCCAACATTGCAACGCGGTTTTGCGCTAAACATAGTCGTTGCGAATAGCCCTGGGTAAAAGCACCTTAAGCTAACCGATATTAATCATACATATGCCGATATCTACAGTACTACGTTTATGGTCGGTGGCAATCATTTATTTGCGCGTGGGAAAACTTTTGCGTTGCCGACAGGCTTGTCACGCAAGATTGTAATTAATAATTAGAAGCACGTGTGCTGCTCGTGGGACAAGGCATTAAAATGCTTTTAATTTTTACTCAGTAAGAAACCACTGTCCGTTCCAGTTGAGTCATGAAAACGCACACAGTCATTTGCATGAAATATGAGAGAAAAACAATAGATAAATTATGCGGTCGAATCGGCGTTATGATGTTCCTTAACCTGATCGATGAGTTTTTAATGAAAGTGGCCTTTCCTAAAATCAAACGTTGTTTACAAACCTTTTAAAATAGGAAAGAAATAATCTAACAAAATAATACCCCCTTTAGTATTTGGGACATCTTTTCAAGAGATTGTATCAATGAAGCCCTCTGCAGAATTAAGCTTACAACTTGAATGTGTCGCATGAATATTAAAACCACTGACTCTTTATCTACCTGGTGGCCCCGGGAAGCCAGTTCTTCCATGATATGCTTCATGTTAATATACTGAGATCCTCCAAGGGCCATGAAGCCAACAATCCGGGCAGATAAAACGGAGCTGACAGTCAGTGATAGCAAACTGAGCGCCAACAACGCCATTTTTGTTTTTAAGTGGCCCTGCATGCCGCTGACCCTAGAAACATTTGTCACGCAGGTAAGTAACGCTCGCTATAGAACCTTGAAAAGGTGCGTTTCTATGGAAAAATCTTGAATCCTATGAATAGTTACCTTGAATGATCTTATTTTATAACGACACGGGTGAACGATCCGCTGAAAGCATACCACTACCCAGCATTTGTCTTATCGCTATGAGTTAGCAACTGTAAGCTAAAATTATGAGTATCTGACTGGGGGTCTTTATCCCTTAAGTATAACAAAACTATTATTTATTTACTTTGCCACACAAAATGATAATGTATAACAATTTAAAAGAACAACAAAGATACAAAAAGGAGAAAATAAGGGTGAGGAGGCCTAAAGGAAACTAATTTTGTTATGTCATAATTTTACAGGATGAAATTAGAAATTACTTCAGTGAATGCAATTATTTACAATTTAGGACGGAAGTTTACTATAGTTAAACTATTAAACACTAACAGTTATTGCAAAAAACTACGTATGTCAATGAATTTGTTATAACCTTTTAACAGCCCATTTTAGATAACTACTGATCCAGTTCGCAGTGTGGTACCTACCGACTTCACCCTAACAACATCTATGGAGACAACGCAATTGAGATTTACAAAAACGTGGATAGCTAAGATCAGACTCGGTACCTCAGCCTCAATCATGTTAACGTATGGCAAAATTTTTTGGGTAACGACCCTCCGAGTCCCTCCCCCCCTCCCCACCCCGCGAAGATTAATCTGTTGTTCTTTCACTCTTTTTATGATCATGATTTAATCCACGGAACGAACAGCGACCTTACTTTTAGGATAGGGTTACATCTCAAGTGATATCTCACAATCCCATAATTCGGTACAGGCACAAAAAAAACTACAAGCACCCAAGGGGTGCGTACTATTAAATTAACCAAAATAATCCTAACACTTCGCTTAAAAAAATAGAATAATAATAATAATAATAATAATAGGTGGATAATAATTTAAATGGATCATAGATACGTATAAATACTGATTCCACTTTTTTCTCGCCCAAGTTTTTCTCCTTCGTTCATGCTTATTTTAATACATTTTATACCCATGACCCATCACACGAAACATTCGCCTCAACGTTCATACAATGCAATTAGAATGTAAGCAGAAAAAAAAAAAATTAAAAAGCATTACTTCATATGAAGAATAATTAGCTCACACCGCTTAATCGATGTTGTGGATGGTCACATCCGAATGAAACCCTAAGATCCTCCTAACGTGACGTCATTGTGAATTGTTTACTATTGACAATATTATTATACAAAACTACAATCAATGAACATTTAGCCACCTGGTTACACGAACGTGACCGACTGCATAGTATGGAATAAAATATTGCCTGCTTAAACCGCTCCTAGAAGAATTTAGTGCACGCAAGCTTTGGATCAATCTTATCAGTAACTATCTCTGCCGCTGAACGCATGATTTTGTTTGATGAAAACGATTCTGATCCAAAGAAATTTGTCTTCTTCGAGGTCGAAAGGTGGCAGTCAGTGTTTTATAAAATTCGTCATGTCGTAAGCAATATACCCACGGGTTTATTCCCGAGGAGGAAAATGCAGTCACTTCTACGTAGATCCATACGGTGTAGTAATAGCAAAATAGACCACAATGAGTGAAATAATTCACAAACGCAGGAGCCCATAACCCGGAGCGTCTAACTTCCATACTGCACCTATGCAACGGCGTTTTCACAAGTAGGTTTATTTTTAGATAAGCCTTTCCCGCGAATTGCTTTCAAAAAGCAATAACTAGCAATTGCGTAACTAGGACAACTCCACGTTGAAGAGGAGTCTTCTGACGGTACTTCAAGCGACAATTTCAGTATTTACACGGAAACTAGCAGTTCAGAGCAAGATTTGCAAAACCTAGCCAGGACGTCTCTACTTCATCGGCGATAACGCATAATTCGCGCAAAGGGAATTAAATCGAAATCATCTTCGAAATAGCCGACTGTGAAAAGGTCCAAGCGAGCTACTAACAGTCTAAACGACGATTAAATGGAGGAATTGACCTCGTGGAGCAGTTATTTTTAGCGGGAAAAGCTTATCTAAAAATAAACTCACTTGTAAAAACGCCGTTGCACGAATTTATGGCAGTTGAACGCTCCGGGTTATGGGCTCCTGACAAACGAAGTGACTAGACAAGGCATCCAGCAAACCAAAAACAGACCCACCACTATGCAGACAGTCTTGGTAGCCTTGTAATTCTTTTTACTTCTCTTGATTGCTTCTAGGCAAAAGTTATTCGCTATGATAAGTTTCTTGCACTGCCGTGCAGCAGCTTTTAAAATCAGAATTGAACTGAATGTAATAATCATCACTGGTATTAAAACAGTAACGACCGTGAATGACATCCACAATAACACTATAGCCGAACTCTTCATAACAATGAACCTCGAGCAAGGAAGGACTACGGACATTAACCATACCAGGGCTATTGCCACATAACACCGTTTTTTAGTAAGAAAGCTTTGGTATCGTAGAGGGTGGAAAATAGCAATATGCCTGTCCAGCGTCACACAGCATAAGTTAAAGGTTGTAGCAACCGTTGTATGAATCCAAAGATAGTCAATACTAAACGCATACTTGTGTTCATATTTATCCTTGTTGGATTGCGAACACCTAAAGATGATCCATACTGGAGCAATGATAAGTCCTACCAATAGGTCTGCCACGGCTAGTGATGTTATGAACAAATTCGCATTTGTTCTTAGTGACTTGTTCTTTGCTATCAACCATAAGACAAGCGAGTTTCCAACTATCGCTTGCAAACTTAGAATACCACACCAAGTTGACATGATGATCTTTGTTACCATGTTAAATTAGTATATACTCTTTAGAGTCGACAGTGGTTCTTTTATATAATATGCAACGTAATATTTGTGGAAAGAAATGGGTGAATGAATGAAACCATGCACAGAAAAACGGTAGCTCTTTCAGTAGCTGTAGGCCCTAGATAGAAGATAAAATGATGATAAAATGCAATGGTCAAGTGAAATGATAATGTACAAGAAGATAAAATCTCATGGAGAAAAACAGTTATAATTAAAAGAAGGCTAATAAGAAATTTAATCAATGAACTCATCATAAAATCTTATATTTTGTACCCTGTGACTTGTAGAGGGGGTTAAAATTTCTCACGTCTATTTTCAAGCTCAATCGTTTGACTGTGATTCTGTCAATAGCTATATCTTTAATTTGTATTATTTTTGTTCAGAACCGACAGTACTAACATTGCTAAAACTTACCTTAAACTAGTTGATTTTAATTATGATTTACAATTTTTTCAGGAAAATTTGCCTCGCCGGTCGGTAATGCAAGGGAAGTTAGATGCTTGCAACAGCCATCAAACATTTGCAGCTTCAGTAAAGAAATCGTCTCTGGTCAGCACCAGGAAAACTATTTTCACCAGTGATCTGTGGAGTAATTAAATGAAATTCGTAGCACTACCCGCGCAGGTCAAGGTCCAGTTTATTTTGAGTCGTTTTAAAATTACCATTTACGCACGCTTTTGATGTTTTGTCAAATTAGCAACCCACAGTGCTAAACCTATGACTTATAGACGATCCATAAGTCACGATATTTTCAGCTTTGAATGATAAATCTAAAGAAAGACCCTGACATGAAAACAATCCGTGCTCCTTTTTGGCTCTCCTTTGCTTTTTTTGTTTAATCTTTGAATTAGAAATTTTAATTTTTTTCTTCTGTCAATTCAATTCTGCAATTTTATTCAAGGCACGTTTGTTTGCTTATGTGGAGGTAAAATGTAATACTCAGAACAATATTTGGATAACTGTTTTTCAATCTTTGCAGTTCCATTCCTTAGAACGCTTTTACATTTATTTTATTCCTTTGTTTCTCAGTAATTAATTTCAGCAGGTCCGTCATCAACTCGGCATAGGAAGTTTAAGTTGCCTTAAGACAGCCGCGGGATTTGAGTGACAACTACTTAAAATTAAACGGATGCGTCTTATATCTATTTATATTTGTACATGTGTGTGAGTGTTAGTCGATCACGTTATTATTTTATATTACGGGGCTTAAGAATCCAAAACTCATAAATTATAACGAGATTGTGTCTTGTTCAGAACAACGTGATTTTCGCACATTTTTTCTTCAAGTCTTACTATATTATAATCAAGGTACCTCATGTGCATAAATAACGTACAGAATTAAGCATTAAATCTATTAACATTATTTACATATGTGCATGGAAAAGAAAATGTAATTTTCTTTTTGCTTCTTCAATAAAAAATACACGAGCAAATGTAGGCATGGCTGCAATAAAGCGACATGAATATATTTTTATTTCTACTGGATAATCAACAATTGTTCCACAAGCGCGCTTTGAATGTGAGATGGTAAGTCGGCAAGGATTTTATGATAGATGAGGCCTATAGAGATTTAGTAAAATCCAACTAGTGGTCTATTATCAATGCTGCGTTCTGATTGGTTGAGCTACTACTAGGCTATATGTTATAGCCCACTAGTAGCGAAAAGTGCAGGCAAAACAATGGCTTTTGCGTCGCGTTTTGCTAGCTAAAGTTGTTTTGTCTCGATATTTTTGACCAACTAGTTGGATTTTACTAAAAGAATTATTTCTCTCGCCCTCATGGCCTCTGAGTCAATAGCCCATTCGGCCTTCGGCCTCATGAGCCCATTTGGGCTCGACGAATAATTGTTAAATAGTATAAAGTGGCAATATGGGCGCAATAGCGCCATCAGGACTGCGAACGGCGCACTTTTCTAGGGAATTTTAGGGGACATGCTACCCCGGGAAAATTTTTGAGATGCAATCTAATGCATTCTGGACGCTTAAATTTAGCAAATGCCTGGATTCCATACTGAACATGTAATGCGGAAATATTTAATAAACCAGAGGATTGGTTGTGGTCAAAGAAGTAATTAACACTTTACGATGCTAGTAGGGGCCGAAGCGATTGCGGTGAGAGCACAAACTCCCGCAAAGGCCGCAACATCGTCTCTCTGAAAAATTGTAAAATCCAGTTTGTTTGAGACGGATGACTGCATACATTCCGGGAGCATTGGTCATTTGCGACTAAAAATGTAGGCTTCGAACACAGAATGATTCTTTTCTTCTAAATTTATTATTAAAGAAATATATTTAGGTAACAAAGCTCGAAGTACTATCCGACTCACGTTTACACCCGTGACGACTTTATTTAGCGGGCGAAGCACATTACAGTAATAACAACTTGTAACCCAGTGGCCCTTGAAAAATTAAAAATAGTTACACTGATTCTGCCTATCATAAACGTAAGTCATTAAAATGTATTGAAAATGATATAGATACAGATTAAAATACAATATCGTGATAAGTTATGAAAAAAAAATATATATGTTAAAACTAAGTCCTTTTTCTGCGTGGCATAATTATATCTAGGACAAAGCAATGTTAAATCAAAATAACTTGTATTCTTCATATGCATGTTAGAATTTGTAACTAGAAGTTCATTCACATAATTAAGAGTGTTTCCTTTAAGTCTCTTGTGAATGAGAGCGCATCGATTTATGTGCAGCTCCCTTTAAAAAGGAATCCAATTAAGTGTATCAAACATGTCCACAGATCTTGAGTTAAAAGGGACATTCAGGATCACTCTCGCTGGCCTCTTTTGAAGTCTGAGAATGCTGTCTAAATTTGTCTTGCTCGTAGATGACCACACACTCGATCCATAAAGGAAAGATGGTTTAAGTACAGCATCATAGTAGAGCTCCTTATGTGATCTTTGTTTAAAGAAGTCCAATTTTCTTTGATAACGATTTACATCAGGGGCACCCAACGGCAATTTTCGGGAAAATATCTGTTCGGAAGACGGTTTGAGATCTAGAATTTTCGGAGCATTTGTTGTAAAATTTCTTGCTTGCCTGCCTCTCCTAGGATTTTCGAACATCTACAAAATGGTGTAATTACCCATTTTTAACGGATTTTGACCCTAAAAAAGGCCACCTAGAATTTTCGAGAGCCTTTTCCTGGCTAAAATTTTCGAGAAGGTAAGTTTTTATCCTTATAATTTTCGGATCACTAGACTTTCAGCTAGGAAATCCGAACAGCTGAAAAGTTTTTAGGGGATAAAAATATGCCTATATCTACCGTTTGAATACTAAAATACGTTCAACAATGCTATGTTAAGTGGTTTTGAACTATATCCTCGTTGGGTGC